AATTAGCTTTTCTTTAGATTATTTTGTTGTTCTCCTATATCGAAAATTGAAACACTTTGAATGCATTTAATTATAGAGAATGAGTATGACTCTCCAAATCAAAATGTTAATTTAAAGAGTCTATTGAAACTTGATTTTAAATGTTGACTCTTTAAAAATAAAGAGGATTTCATGTTTAAAGAGTTTCTTGGATATGCTTTAAGCGCCTTAACAAAGTGAGCATTAACAAGAGTTCCTATTCAGCTGCAAAAAATGGATACCCGAAGAAACATGTTGAAAGAGAAGTCAATACGTACCAGATTCACTTGTAGATGCACATCTGACAGAAATGGTGCTATAATGGACCAAAATGTAATATCAGTCTGAATAACAGCTCCGGCACAAGTCTGATATGAAGTTTGCACAAGGTATTACTCAATATATTAACATTCAAGAACTTAATCGGTGTAATACACATAGATAGATGCATCGTAGTAAAGCACGTCATAAGCCAAAAATCCGCAAAGTATAGACAATGATGCAAAATGAAGTCCAAGCCGCCAGATGGGGTGCAACCCTTTCCAACAAGTGCTCCATAGCTGAGAGGACCTCAAATTTCCTAGAGGCTGCTTCCCAATTAACGGGCTCTGATAATTGCTGGTGGTGTTGTCAAATACTTCCTTTCTTCATAGCACATAGAGGGCAAAAATGAAGGCCGCACCCACTATTCCGAAACAAGTGTAATCGTACCAATATCCCACCACAAGCCCCATTCTTGGATACCTTCTTGCTCAGTTATACTTTATTGTGTTTACATATTTGCATAATCCTTGAATAACTTCTTGCTTAGTTATACTTTATTGTGCGTGTATATATTTGCATATGAGGTAGTTTAAGTAGTTTCTTGTATGTGACTGGAGACTAACGGGTTCATGCTGGCTCGTGGGACTGGTAGTTTAGAACTGAGATTAATTATTTATGTACGTGAGACATGGATTTTTTTTAGTGTGTATATATTTTAAGCCACCAATATTTCCTAAATACATTTTTATTTTATTTTATTTTATTTTCAATTACACATTTTTCAATAAAATAATATTACATACAAATCCAAAATTTTTCCTTATGTTTGAACCATACATTCTCTATCAAAATACTATTCAAAAATTCATTTTTATCACAAAAATGGGGCTCAAACAGGATTGAGATTTTCCTTTTACACCAAGTTTAGGAACGGATCAAGGTCCGGAGGTAAAAAAAAAAAATTTACACATTCTTTTTACATAATCTTTCTTAACGCAAAATATTCATTTCCATAAGAAAATATTCTTCGTGTAAAACACAAAATATTTCTTTAATTTTTAATCACACATTTTTTAAAAAATTATTATTTAAAAGCTCATTCTTCCTAAAGATGACTATCAAACGGGGCCTAAGATTATTAAGGGGCCCGTTTAGTCTGCGTTTAAGTTTCTATTTTGAAAGTTTGTTTTATATATATATATTTTTTATATTTTGGTGGTATGTTGGTGAATGTTATAGTGTTTTTTCCGGCTACAAAAATTAAATAAAAACAAATAATAAATTAAGGAGGCAAAATACAGGAAAAATGATAAAAATTAGTAATGTAGATTGAGAATTTTTATGTGTTCATTTAAATATATTTTCTAATTTTTATTTAAATAATTAATAAGTTTTAATTATTGTTATTTTTTATTTTCTAGAAATAGAATTTTCGTTTTTCAGATTTTTTATTTTTTTAAAATTTAGATTTAGATTTTTATTTTTTAAAATTTATGTTTTTAGAATTTAATTTTTCATATTTTAAGAAATTAAATTATCTAGAATTTTGTAATTTTATATTTTTGTTACTTATTTTTAATTTTATTTAACTTTCAAAGTTATAATGCTCTTAATTGGCAATTACTTATACTCTAATGAAGTATATGAATTAACCACCCTTTATTTCAATTACAAAACAAATTTATCAACCTTTCAACAATTCATAATAATTTTATAATTTAAGAACACTTTAAATATGTTAAGGTACACAATAGAAGCATGTAAATGAAAAAAAGGGTAATGGGATTAAACGAGCTGCTCGCCCGTAATTTTTTTTAAAAAATGATTTATTTTTTATTTTAAGGGTGCATCCAGCCAACCAGATTAGACTAGCTAACTAAAAGAAAATAAGCAAGAATTTATTTACAATACATATAATATAATCTTTTCAATATACACACGCATCAATAGTGAGTGAATATGAAAGCAAAAGCCTTCAAACCTTGACAATTGGCTATGACAATTCAGTAGGCTTCATGCTCAAAAATGGACTTCTACGGAGTCAATTCACTACCGGCCAACCAATTGTTATGTAAAGATACCTTACCCCCCCCCAAACAGCATTCCTGCCCTCTCAAGTAATGGGCATCTCCAGTAAAAAGTCAACTAGAAAGTCAATGGTTGCCATTCCTGTCGAGGAGAAACCTCAAGCGACACAGAGCCTCAGCTAACAGGCTGCAACACCTTAGTTTCCGTTGGCGTGCTGGTGATGGTTCTGGGTGATCGAGGGAAGTGAAACAAACTATGATGACTGTGAGATTGTCAAAAGTGCTGCGTCGCAGGGCCTCCATTACAATGTCCTTGGCACATTGCTCAGGGTCGTCATGCCGTCTCAGTCCACGACGCATGAGGCTAACTGCTTGTTGACTAGATATCACGTCCCATATCCCGTCACACCCCATTATGAGGAATTCATCATCCTCCGTCAGAACAATTTGACGAAATTCTGGCTCTGCAATAAGAGGAGAAGGAGAACCCCAAGGCAACTTCATGTCCCAATCCCCAAGTGCCCGAGTTACTGAAAGAACACCATTGAGATAACCATCATCAATAAACCCGCCCAATTCCTCTACCCGCTTTCGCTCCAATGCATAATTGGGTCTATGATCTTGAGACATATAGATGGCCTCTCCTTTCCGGCAAAGAACAGCACGGCAATCTCCTGCGTTCGCCACCATTAGTAGCCTGGAAGAGAAAGTAAAGAGTCTTCTAATAACAGAAAAAAAAAATTAACTATAGAAACAAAGGAAATCAGTTCGTGCCAGAAATTATCAGTACTTATAGTATCAAGCTGTTGGAAAACAGGTCGTGGGTTGCCAATGTGGCCTGACCCGACCTTCAGGATACTAAAGATGGATTGGAAGGAATGGTTTGAAGTTGTATTCAAATCCTTCCGTCAACCTCTCTCAACTTCCTATAAGCATTCAACATGTGTTATATTGAGATAGAAGAGAAATGAACAGCCTGATAAGGAGAAATTCGTAAAAGAAAATGCACCTAAACTAGAAAGGGATTAGAACCATATTTCTGGCTAGAAAACTCACAAAACTTGGCACTCAGATTCTCCTTCCTATGTGATCGAAATTGAGACCATATGAGTGCAATAAAATGCAGATTTTGGAGCACAGAAAAGTAAGGTGATTCGACCATGAAGATCTTGGAAATTGATTTTTTTCAAGCAAGAATTCTAGGACTTCAACCATGCATGTTGCGTATTCATGCACAAACTCATTAAGTAGGTTATATAAAATACGTGATTGGACCACTGTAGCTCTTTTGTCGAGATGACATTCATTCAAGAAATCAAAATTTTATGAAATGCATAGGAAAGAAAGGTATTTAAATGCCAGACAATATGAAGCTTAGAGTATAAGAGGCCAAGATATCAAGAGCTCAATAGGCAATTTATTTCTGTCAAATTCCAAAGCATAAAGAGATGACTGGCACAAAGATTTACCTTCCAAGTACAAGAACTGTCAAAGCAGTTGTTCCAGAAGAAGTGTTCACACTACTGTCATCAGCCAAAGCCATGTCTGCCAGAAGAAATCCTTTCTTTAGACAATTATCAACATCTAATAGAATGCATCATCAACTTCAGAAGCTTGTGGGAAATTAACATCTTCAAAAAAGAATCTGATTGCATTTTTTCTAACATAGGCTGCTGCCTCAGGCCCTCCATGGCCATCAAATACCTGTAAGATGCAAAAAGGAACCAATGAGAAAATGATGGGACGACTGTAATATAGGACTAAAACAGCTATAGGACGAGAAAATCAATTACCCCATAGAATGCACTTGGCTTGGGAAAACTAAAGAGTGAACCGAAGTGTGCAGACAGATCATCTATTCTTATGTGTTCATCCTCCATGTACCTTCATGGCCCAATATCAGCAAAACTACCAGATTGAATGCTGGGAACATATTGCAGAACAGACGTTTCTGGGGATTTGACATCCTGACAAATAAAGTTGTTTTCAAGTTAAAAGATCAGAGGGTGTGACTTCAACTTAAAATATGTCTATGTATGTTTGGGAACTAGTGCTGAAGAGGAGCAATACAAATGACATTCATCAAATTCTTCAACACATTACAAGAAAGAGTTTCTTAAGCCTGTACTAAAAGGTTTTCTCATTGCCTGCATATTTGGATGTTATTTCCTTCATGACTGTCGCTTATACTATAAATCATCTAGGCACATAAGCAATGTGACTGGAAGCTTACTGACCAAGATCTTGTACCATTACTCTCTCATCCAATCTCATTTTTTGGAGAATTATTAGGGAAGTCCAAAGAATTCAGGAAAAGAAAATTGGACTTTCATTACTACCAAAAACCACAATCATACAAAGCCTAACACAACCGATAGCTATACGAGGAAAAACAAAAGTTTACACAGCAAGCAGTAACCTAATGGTATTAAAATGAGATAAAGATATTGGTTTGGAATATGATTTTGTCCTCAACCCACAGCGACTGTCGGCATATAGTTAATCAAGTAAAGCATGTTAATATTAATTTTTTGCAGATTCAAATGAGAAGGGCAAATGATGCAGACTAACCTAATTATCCCCTCAAACACCCCTCTACTCAGATGAGTAAGAGGAAAATTGTAATAAATTGATTAAAAAAGACTTGTCTTTTCTTTACCCAATGCTGCATAAAATTTTGCACCATTTTCTTATCCTTTTAAAATCTATTCTCTAATTATAATCGTTAATTTTCCATTTAATTTTCTAATAACGGTTCAGGTTTTCTTAACATAATAGCTAATCATCATACATCAAAACGATCTAATCAACAATTTGATGCAAAAATTAAAGAAAATTTATGAACTTATCAAAACTGTGAAGGCAGAAAATAATACAAAACCCATAACCAAAACTTGAAAACAAAAATTAAAATCTACATCAGAAACGAAGTAGAAAAACAAGAACTAGTTCTTTTAAAGCTTTTACCACTTCAGAACATGGCACATCCAAGACAGGAACAACACCGTTTTGAATCACAACCTCAGCCTCAGCTCCCATTTTTTCAGATCACAACACTCAAAATCAACTATAACCCACTTCAAGATTTTCTTGGAAAGCAAACAAAACCAAGAATCTCAACTTTAAACAAGACTTGTGATGGATATTGTAAGGAATATACCATTCGGAAGCAGAAATATATTCACCAAGAACATTCGAAATCAGATTAACACAAAG